GTAGTTGAAGAGAAACAAGTTAATTATAAGTCATAAGACAAGCCTAATCTAAGGCTGAGCATTTATAACTAATAACAAGTCTCCATGTCTTGATTTGGGGGCTGGTGATCCAAGAAAGCCTGGTACACTAATGTATATATCTGACATGAGAATATTAATTTACTAAAACACATAATTGTAAAAAAGTTAAAATGCAAATTTTAAATTGAGATTTTAAAATATAAGCTTACCTGTAGTATAACAAAGAAGATGAAATCACATATAAATATTTATAGATAGTGGAATTTGTAATGCCACGAATCTTTCTAAGAACATCACAAAATTGGGGTGCTTGTATGATTATATAAAGGGATCTACAGCTCACATTTCAATTTGTGTAATCTGTTAGGAATGTCTTTCAGCAAATTAAATACAGCTGAGATCTTGTGCAAAGAATAATTTGTAATTCATGAGTGGATCTGCAGAAGGAAGACCAGCTCAGAGAACTCTACCCAGCCAAAGGGGAAGGTGATGCTTTCAAGTAGGCAGTGAAAATGGTGTAAAGGAGGAGTTTGATTAGTTACTACTCTACATTCCCCTTACTTGTGTAATGGTTTGTCTTATGGGTGTATTTGATTCATTAGTATACTGTAATTAGCTGAGCTCAATTTCTGAGATTGGCTGAGACTCTGCTGCTTTTTACAAGTATAAATTCTTAGTTTCAGTTTGGTTTTGTACCATTTCTTTACAGGTTTTTTTTTTTTTTTTTATGAAAGCATTCAAAGTGAAGAGGTATTTTAGAGTCACATATAATTTAACAGAGCTAAAGAGAGATGGTTATTTCTGGAGAAAGAGAGAAGCACTTCTGTTTACAATGGGTTGAAGGTGTTCATTGCAAATAAGGGATGTTTGTTGCGTGCTGACTAAGTAGTCGGTGCTGAATGGATGGCCCGCAGGTTCCTAGTATCATGGCAGGTTTAGCACATATGACTCATACTGGCTGAGTGCAGTGTTGCTGGGATGACTGGGCTCAGATTTTCTAACCCTTCAGTGTTGCTTCACGTTGGGTACAGTGAGCAAGAATTCTACTCTACTGCCCTTAGGTACATGACATTTCACATGCTCTTTTGCCCAAATCTAATTACATCAGATATTGAGTCCCTGCTTTTCAGAGTGTCCTAAGTGTAGAGTTTCAAACAGTGAGACATGGAAAGCAGAATCCCAAGCAAAATCACAGTATCTCTGTGAGCAGAAGAAATATGCAATGTGCGTTTGAGCTTATTAATTTTTTCTGGTAAACTTCTTAATATTTTGTCATAGTTAAGAATGTGCCTGCTTTAGATATTCCCAGACATGATAGGAGGGGCAGGGACAGAAAGTAATTGCCTTAGGGAAGTTAATAGAATATCTTACAGATACAGAAGCCATGATTTGTTCCTACATTTGTCACTGTCAGAGTAGGCATAATTTCTGCGTTCACTACCAATGCAGGGAACTTCCTTACCCCTCAGACATCCTCTTTCCTGTCACTAGAGTTTTCTGTTTCCTACTCCTCAGGATATCACAGTCATTTAACTTCAGTCCATTCACCGAACTAATCACTGTTATATTTATGGATGTCCTCACTCACAGACTGTGTCAGGGTTTGGGGTGATTTCTCATTAGGTCTGAGTACATAAAGCACAGCAGGAGAAAAATTCCAAAGTATTTGAACTACTAAAGATGCTTTTAAACAGGTATAAATAGGAACTGGCAGGCATCTCCATGCTTGTATGAAAGTAAATCAATAAGCATGGATTTGATTCAGATAAATCTTAAGATAGATAAAGACACATTCGGGAATCTATTATTTATTTTTTCTAAGGCCATGTTGAGAGAAAAAAAAATAAAAGAAAGAGGGAAACATGAGGAAGGACAGAAAAAAGGAGAAAAGAAAGGATGAAAGAAAAAATCAAATCAAGAGTTGTGTCAATTAAAAAAATAGTTTTTAAAGGACTATGAAATAACTTAGAAGTTTGAAAATAAAAAAGACAAGTTTTTTGTTTTTTTTTTTCTGGAATACTCTTCAGGCACAAGGATGGCTTAGTTAGCCAGAAGATTTGCCATATCTTTCCTTCATTTCCTTCCCTAAATGTTATAAGTATAGGTGTGTTCTTATTGGTCCCCTGACTTCTCAAGCATTCAAGGCCCTAATGAACTTCAGTTTCATTCACTCCCTAAACAAAGCTGTTGCAGAGCCAATGAAGACAACAGAAGGCAATCTGCCTTGTTGAACAGATGCTAACCCCTTATGGAGTCTGGTGCATCTCTAGGTGGCTCTCCTGTCTGAGTTTGAAAAGGCAAAGAGAACTTCTGACCCTGAACCTCTTCAAAGAAAACCATGGTGATGGTTTTCTCTTTTATTAGTCTTTCTAGTGATATCTATCTGTTACAGTGGTCCATAGGCACAAACAACAAATTTGTTTTTCAATGTTTTCTATTAGCAGCAAGCTCACAAAGTCATTTTGTTTGGAAAGTGATAGCTGCAAGACTAAAAAGCATTGCTTTTAGATTTCAATTCTACTCTATTAAACAGCCATTGTTGAATGTCTATTCAACACCAGGGTCAGTGCTAAGAGCTGAAATAAGCATACAAAAAAGTAAGAGGCATTTCTGAATTTTAGAAATAAGTTGCAAATTTTAAAGGTATGGTGTAAGTGTGCTGAAGATTATATAACAGAGAGATTAAAAAATAGTTCTTATGCAATGATATTATGACCATTTTATCTTCAGTTAATTGTCCTGAAACAGTTTGTCTGCCTGGCTATTTTTCTGAGATAATATTTGTAATAGCTAGCATCTATTAAATACAATTTGCCATAAGCTTTTTTTTGTATCTTACAATGCTTGCAACAGCTTTGTCATAGAGATATTGTTGTGAATTTTCTAAAGATAAAAAGACAGAAGACTTTTGAGACTTAAAAGCTTCATTAAGTTTACATAAATAGTAAGGGCAGAGGCTATATTTCAAGGCCAAATTTCCCTGTTAGGCCAGTCCATATCTCTTGCCATTATACTTACCTATTGTAGCCACTTAAATTAACTACAATATATTTATATTTATATTTATATTATAGCCCATATATCCCAAAGTTGTATTTATTTTCATAACAAAGTTTTGGAGCAATAAAAGTCTTACGTTACTGAGATTCTTTCTAGTGACTTAAAGCCAGAAACAGTGAAGAACTGGCATGATTATATGGCCCTTTGAGATGGGTTAACACGTAATTTTCACCTCTAGATATCCATCTCTATGATCCAGATAGGCCAATATTAGCTTAAACTGTGTTATTGAGTTCTTTTTTTTTTTTTTTTTGGTTTTTTTTTTTCGAGACAGGGTTTCTCTGTGTAGCTTTGCGCCTCTCCTGGAACTCACTTGGTAGCCCAGGCTGGCCTCGAACTCACAGAGATCCGCCTGGCTCTGCCTCCCGAGTGCTGGGATTAAAGGCGTGCGCCACCACCGCCCGGCAAGTTCTTTTAAGCATTAGAAAATATTCTTGTCACTGAACTGTTTGCTGAGATTTTGTTTGCACTTATCATGTGTATCTTAGCTTGTGATCTGAATCAGTTTTCTTTTGAGATATTTCAAATTGTTTATCCACAGAAACAGTTTAAAAATATGTGAGAAAAAAGTGTTGTAAATAGTAGAAAACACAACAGCATTAAGTCATGGTATTGTGCATTGCTTTTAGATTTAGAGCATTTATTTCATAATTTTGAAAGGATCAATTGTTTTTATTAAGCCCTCAAGAAAGGTAACTATTTTAAGATATCTTTATTTGAGAATTTTGTGAACATTTGTTTCTTGTTATTTATCATATTCTCTGGGTAAGTGAAAAGTCCTTACCATTTATACACTATTTGGACCTCCCAATAATATGTGGTTCAAAGGCTGTAGCAAATTACACACCTTTGTCAATTAATAGCTAGAAACGTTCTCCCTCCAAAAGCACTGCATAATTGTTAATAGCATTACTTCATGGTCATATTACTTTTTCACCCTGCATTTGCTTCATCTCCAGTCTCCCCAGTAGTAATGTACACCCTTTGCTGAAACCAACAAGGGGTTTGAGGTTTTTGATGAGAAGAGTTCCTCCTAAATGGGATTGGAGGAATGCTAGGAGGAATGATGATAGAATGATACGTTCTAGATAAAAGATTGTTTCACAAAGGGAGGTCTCCAAATTCTCTTTAGTTCTCATTGTGATATAGAGGGCACTTAACAATTATCAGATATCAGTTAAAATACATTTTTTATAATGAATGAGATAATGTTTCTTTTTAGACCATGTGATGTTAACTCACACTTTTACCTGTCTTGAAAGAACTTGAAGATAGCAATTCAATCAACGCAAGAGTGACTGATGGATTATAGAGTTCTAGGGCTTGACTCTGTGGGGCAGGGATTATTACAAGTTGTGTTGTGCTAACCATGGATCTTACCATGGCAGTCCACCTTTCTTTCTTTCTTCTTATGTTCTTTCTCCAAGGACCTTGATCTGAGGAATAGCTACAGTTCCAATGTGATAAATGTGGCACTAAACATCCATATAACCAATGTCTTCAATGAATAACAATTGGTTCTACTTTGGTAGGCTTGCCAATTTGCATTCTCATCTGTAGATTGGCTGAGGGTTCTATGTCATGTCATTGTAGTTTCTCAATGATACCTGTATTCCTTTAACTATATTCATGTCTCAAGTATGAGGAATGTCTCATAAAACACAATCCATTATTTTATTATAGGATCATTCATGACTTTTAAATAGAAATAAGACTTGTATTCAGATGAAAGTCTAACACTTTGTGATCCTCTATTATTAAGCTAATGAGTATTAGTATCATGTGGAAATTAGTATATTAAATTAAGACCTGAAAATTAGACTTAAATAACTCATTTTATTTAAATGATTATATGCACAACATGTCAAGTTAATTTCATTTTTTTAAACATAGACAATTGTTTGTGTTTTTTTTTTCAGTCTATCCGAGAAGTCACGGGCTATGTACTGGTGGCCCTCAACCAGTTTCGCTACCTTCCTCTGGAGAATTTACGAATTATTCGTGGAACAAAACTATACGAAGATCGCTATGCGTTAGCGATATTCCTAAACTACAGAAAAGATGGCAACTTTGGACTTCAGGAACTTGGATTGAAGAACCTGACTGGTAAGAAAATTCGAAAACTAGTGCATAATGTGATGTAATATCTATATGTGTATGTGCGTGGTTTCTGATGTTCAGGTATGGAAGCACCTGGGGCACCTAAGTGAGTGGTATGTACTCATTTCATGAGAAATGATGCCTCTGCGATGCTCTCACTTTTATTGACAGATGTTGTAAGTGTCGTGTGAAAGATAGCAGGATATTGTATCTCAGCTGAACAGAAGTACACTCTCAGGAAATGCTCAGTAACTGCAAACGGAGATAGGAAGCAGGTGTAATACAGTTTGGTGGTCGCAGGTGAATGGTGAACCAGATCAAACCTCTGCAATAATACCATGGTGCTCATGCCTGCCAGAGCTTAGTAATGCCCAAGCGATTACATGTAGTTCGACTAATCTTTAGATATTTACAGGATCACCCGAGTTTAGGGGGGACAGTCTAATTTATTCAGTTTCAATTTCTCCCATTTAGTAGATCAGCGAACAAGATCACCATTTCTCAGCCTGTTTTCGTGCCGTCCGTGATAGTTTCTCAGCATTGCAGTCACACGAAACTAACAAACGAGTTTTATCTTCTAGATAAGAAATTTTGCAGCAGTTTTTTTCTAGTTCATGTTCCTTAAAGTTCATATAAATTCTGATGGAATACTTTATTATATAATCATGATTTTTTACCAAATATATCTACAGTTAAAGTGTGCCAATAAAATATTCAAACCTACCATAGCTCACATTATTAATTTACTTGAAATTACTAGCATATATACATGTATTATATCAAATATATAGAGATTTATGTTTATGATTATGTTCATTTGGGGTTCTCTTAGTGAAGTTTATGCACCCTGAAAAATTAAATGCTTTAAGAGGCTTTGCCATAACATTGTTAACTTATTGAGATAGTTTTTTTTTTTAATATACACAGTGTATGATGTAGTATAGGCTTAAAGATGGAAATTTTAATTTCACAATCATCCAGACATGGAAGATAAAATTGGGAAATTTGAAGCACAAAAGGAAAAATGATAATGTCAGTTGTTAGGACATGGTTGCTGTAGAGTTGATGAAATTATAGTAAATGCGGAGTGTTGGAAATGTATTGTTTCCTATACCAACATTGTTGCTTCAGTTATTTCCAGGATAATTTTCCTACTGAAGAATGGCTTTTTTGACAAAATTTCTACTTGCATACAAGTAATGACTGGAGGAGGAATTTTGAAAATAAGATGGTCAGGGGGAAAAAGCTGAATAGCTAGAATTAGAGATCTAAAAATTAGATAATACAACTAAAACTTCCAAACTTACACAGGAAGCATTGTGTCTTTCATGAATTTACTATGATTATGTTAAAGAATAAAAGGAATAAATTCCTTTTAAGGAATTTTTATAATATTAGAATCCTTTTATTATTATATACAATGAGCTAGTTGAATTTTTCTCTATATAAAAACATCATAAACTATTTCTCATATTCATTTCTGTTAACATCACTACATCTAAAATAATAACCAAATATTTTTTTAAAAAAATATGTCACATTTAAATACCATTTAGCCACTGGATTCATTGCATATATTAATTATGATTATGGCAGTTGATTGATTTTTTTTCTTGTTACACTAAAATATAACACTGTCATTCAAAAGTAATCTCTAAACTGGATAGTGCTGTGATATTTCTGGACATTTGTAGAAATGGATAATTTATTAAGGTTAAGTGTTGGTTCCTTAGAAAATCTGTATTCATTTAAAAGTTAGTATTGCTTTCTTTTTAGCATGTGACTCAAAAAGCCATGTAATAAAATGTATGGTGGAAATTCTGGGCATTATGGACATTTTTTAGATATTTGATTTATTCAGCGGTTGACAATCATGTCAAAATACTTCTGTGTGCTTCTAGAATGGCTGAAACTTAGGTTTCAGGGTTGATGTGATGACCGCAATCCTGACAGTTACGAATTGCACAGTAAACACTATTACAATTATGTGTGACAATGTATGAGGAAGACCTGAAGACAGCTAATTATGCCTATGAAGAGGAGTTTTGGGAAATTTTGTTCTATTTTGGAGAGCTAAATAATCTAGGTGATCTGGATGAAATAAGGAGTAAATATTGCAATTCCATTTGGTAAGATTGGGTTTATGCTTTGGAAAGAAATTTCTCTTGTATTGTAATTTTATTGTTCTACAAAAGAAGTTGATAATTTTACAAATTATATTACACACAAGGCTATGAGCTTTGTTCTGAATATAGTCTAATAAAAATAAGTATAGTCATTTAAAAAACCTAGATGTGCTAGCCTATCATGGTGTATTTGACTTCTTAACAATGAATTAACTGCAAATCCAGATGAATTACAGTAATGTTACCAAAGAGCAATAGCACAATATGTAGTTAACCTTTTCACACTTCTTTGGCAAAAGTAGTTTCCATTCATCTATCACATGATGGAAAGAAGAGAAGAAGTGAGACAGAAACAGATATTCTTTTCGTTGCCCACCAGCGATTATACTCTAGGTTGGGTTCAGGGTGTAAAAAGCACAGTGGGAGCCTAGATAGAAATGTGGATAAAATTCATGAGAGGGCTGGGGATGTATCCCAGTTGGTAGAATGCCTGCCTTTATGTGTAAGAAGCCCTGGGTTTGGTCCCCAGCTCTTTATAAAGCTAGATATATTGACATACTCCCCTAAGGCCACACCCAGGAGACTATCGAAGAATATCAGAAGTTCAATTTTATTCTAAAGTATATAGCAAGTTAGTATCGAGCTGGGATACCAGAGACCATGTCTGTAAAAAACTAGTTTTAGAGATAAAGAAGATGCTATGTTAAATATTCCATGTCATTTTGTTTAGTAACAACTTATTGCATAATAAAAAGATTGTAATAATTCATACTGAATTTTCTTAACCACCATTTTCTTAAAGCACTTGTAACAACAACAACAACAAAACCATATAGTGGTTTGCAGGTTGAAAAGTAGTTGCTTGGCATAACAAAGAATTTTGGAATAAAGACTTTAAGTCTTGGCATTAGGAAGATGCCTTAATTTGTAAACTGCTTGCTGGATGAGGACCTGATATTAGTCTCCAGAATCTATGTAAAATTCAGGAATGGTGATACATGCTTATCATCTCCATGTTGGGAGGTAGAGAGACAAGTAGATCCCTGGGATTCATTGGCTTGATAGTCTAGATGAATTGGATAGCCCCAAAACTATGAGAGACACTGTCTCAAAAGTAAAGCTAGGGACCTTCTGAGGAATGACCCCCAAGACTGGCTTCTTAATCTCCATACACTATACTGACATGTGCATGTGCATACATACCCAGAAACCTGGACACATGTATTTTTATAGTATGTATATCTTATCAAACAGTTTTTACTCTATTGATATTAGAAAAGAATGCCTCAAATAGTTTTCACTCTGTTGACATTAAAAAAGAATGCCTTGAGAATAACATGTTTCTCCCAGTAAATTCTCTTATTGTATAAAGTGGATGTTTAGACATATGGACATTATCATTATGTTAGTTAGTGATTAGCTGCAGTATATATATATATATATATATATATATATATATATATATATATATATATATACTGCCCTCTTAAGAATGTTTGTTAAACTTGATGCTCACCAAAAGCTGTTCCATGGGTATGATATATTGTTGATGTGTAGCAAAAGAATCTCAATGAGGAATTCTCTGACTTGGTTAGCCTGTAGGAATGAGTGTGATAATTTTTCTTAGGTGTGTTAATTTGAATGGGAAGACCCACCCACTGGTGGATGTGGGTAGCACCATTGCCTGGGATGAGCCCTGTACTGAATCCAAATTGATACAGCATGCAAACATTAACACACAGACATTAGTTCAGTGCCCTCTGAACTTGACTTTGTATTTAGTGTGGCCAGTTCTCTCGAGCTCCTGCTCCTGTGATTTCCCTGGTATGGTGGATTATAGACGGCAGTTTTGAGCTCAAATAAACCCTTCCCCCACTCCAAGTTGCCTTCATAAAGGTATTCAATACAGCATCAGGAAATAAAACAAAGCCAGCAGACTGAAAACCTTACTACCTACCCTACTTCGACATGGTCAGTTTGGTTTTGTCAAAAAAATGAAATATACTTAAACTGTTGCTCCCACCAGGGTTAAACAGAAACATGTGTTTAGCTGTTGCCAGTCACATCTCTGTGGTTGATTATTATTGAGATTACTAGAGTGGAGAAAGGGGGGAGCTGTTCTAGGGAAAGAATAGACCAGGCAAATCCCAACATCTGCTAGATGTCCTGTTAGCACAGCTGTTCTTTTCTGCCTGGAGGAAAGGTAGGTTTTGACCAGGGTACATATCATCAGGGTACACATTATCAGGGTATAAAACATCTGGGTGCATATTATCAGGGTACAAAACATCAGGGTACACATCATCAGGGATGGATTGACTTCCCTGGAAGTCTTCAGGAATGTAATTTCTACATCAGAGGAGTACAGAATGTAACCAAGGAGTACAGAAAATTTGTATTAATGTCATTCAACATGACTGTAGTTTTCGTTAGTCACTCCCAGAGCTGATGTCCCATTGGCTCCTTCTTCACTAACCATTTCTCTTCAAAGTTCATGTCAAAATTTAATATTAGTGTTGTATCCCTGAGTGTTTAATCTTCAGAATATATAGTTATGAATTTGACTAACATCTAAGAAGAGATTAAACTTATAAGACATAACAAAAATAGCAATTTATATCATGAATTCACTCTACTTTTTATGGAAATGGATAATATAATTTAACATATATGTTAAAGTTATAAAAAGGAATCATTGAATAATACCCAAGTTTGCATATATTCTCTTTATGAAATTCTCTTTTTATAATTGCTAGGCACAATGAACTAGGTACAAACACAATACATGTATAGGTATGTTTATTGTACTAAATTTAATTTTAAATAATTTCATTAATTTTCATTTTATAAATTGTGGGAATATCTGTTTTTGAGGTGGTG